TTTTTCATTTTTATTTTAATTTTAATTTTTTTTTTTTTTTTAGTTTTTAATGTTTTTCAAAGTTTTTTTGTTTTTACTTACTACCAACAACTACAAAATACATACACATCAATATAATATTATATAGATATATGCATATATATACATATATTACTGGACATGCATGTACTTAGATAGCGGCTATATATCTTCGCGTTGGCTTCAGGGCAATTATTAAATTCCGTTGAACAAATGGAAATAATAAACATAAAAGACAAATAATAATAAACAAAAAACGACAATTCCGCTGTACTTAAATGCTAGACAAAAAAAAAACATATCGTTATCGTTATCGTTATCGTTATCATTAAAACATAATTACTGACGATACGCAAAGATCGTTATATATATATCAAGATTTATATATATATATGTAAATACATACGTACAAAAACAATACGAGCGCTGAGTTCTATGGGGAGAGAGGAGAAGGGGCTTCCATATTGATTGCTCTTACGTTTTCTATTAGTTTGTGTTTTGTTTTCATTTTTGGCTGTTTCTATATAGCTTGCATTGAATGGGAAGGGGGAGGGGGAGAATTGGATGGATGGGTATGCTATACGTTGCTTAATTGAGCTCCTTTCGCGTCGTATTGGGTAACAGGAGGCACATGAGGCCGCCGCCGATGAGCAGGAAGGACACTATGAATGTCGGCACCGGGCAGAAGTTGTCGAGCAGCTGGGCGATCACAATGTTGCCAATGATGCCGCCCAGACGAGCGGCCACCATGGATATGGCCACGCCCGTCGCTCGCAGCTTGGTGGGGAATACTTCGGTGATGAGGCAATCGAGCGCCGCATTTGCCGCCGATATCGCACCGCTGAATACGGCCGAGACGATCAGATTCTGCACCGAGCTGCGCACCATGTACATCAGAGCGGAGCAGATGCCGGCGGTGAGGGTGCCGGCAATCAGGAAGAATCGTCTGCCCAGCAGATCCATGCCGAGAATGGCGAACAGATTCGCCGGCAGGGCGGAGGCGAGCGTTATCAGCGATTCCATGAACACCGATTGGGGTATATCCGAATTGCAGGTGCCATTGTGGCTCTCCTTCTGCAGCTGATCGACGACATAGTCGGTGACAGCGCAGATATCGGCCGGCTGGTCGGGATGGCTTTTCTCGTATTCCTCGTAGCGATTGAACACCTCCGGGAACCACATCATCAGGCCATAGTAGCCAATGTGGAATGTAAAGTTGATGGTGATCGAGACGAGCGTGAATCTCAATATGGGCGACTTGAACAGGTCGCGACTGTGATCCACCATGCCGCTGATCATGCGCTTGTATTTGCCCTTAAAGCCCACAGCGCTCTCCGTGGACAGCTTCTCGTCGACCTCCAGATCGTACACCATATAGTCTTCGGGCTTCTTTTTCGTGTTCGTCACATAGATGCCGCGGAAAATGGCCAGGGCCTTGTCCTTTTTGCCGCGCGTCAGCAGAAATTTGGGCGACTCGGGCAGATAGAAGAGCAGGAAGCCAACCAAGAACGATGGGAACGAGCAGACCAACAGGAAGATGCGCCACGAGTTGTATGTGAAGTATTCCGATATGAAGCCAACCTGTGTGGGTATGATCAGCCAGGCGAGGCCGGCCACAAACAGATTACCAAAGGTCCAGAAGGCAGCCATGAAGCTAAGCATGGAGCCACGTTTCGCTTTCGGCTGGAATTCGGCGAAGTACGACCAGATGACAGGACCGCTGCCGCCCAGCCTATAAAGAAGATGAAGGAGACCAGTTAGAAGTTGTGAAATGAGGTGGGAAAACGTTTACCAGCCAGCTGAAACATTTAACATGCAGTTTCATAGCACTCAGCTGGCTGCAGATGACGAGTAAGGGAAGCAGGGAGGGAAAGAGAGAGAGAGAGAGAGGGTGCGCTTTGCTCTAGAAACGTGACGAGTCATGGCCGATTAATGCTATTGTGTAAAACCGATGCCCAGCTCCAATTCACATAGGCAATTAGCAAACGATTGGCAAAACTAATGAACATGAGCCCAGTGCGAGTCTGCAAATAGAGCTCTACCTGTGGAACAGGTGGGCCAGCTTACGGGGAATGGGGCGTTGCTTATGGGGTACTGCATGCGGTTAGCTTGGGTTTTTCGCTGTCGCGGCTGAGTCAGCGACAAAGCCAAGGCAATTGCGACTGCGACTGCGAATACGAATTTTCCCCCATTATTGTTTTGATTTATTTGTTGTTATCATAGCCTGTAATATGATAATATCTATAATAATGTATGAGATAGGTTTGTGCGATGTGGCCAACTGGCCAACCAGAGCCTCAATTAGCATAAAGAGTCACGATATTGCGGCTCAAATATTTTGTTGTTATTTATAACATAGTTAATTGAATTAGCACCTCGACACCCGTGCCTACCCCGCCTCGGTCATGCTGGCCATGTGTCACTGAATCAACTGCAAAACGGACTGCATATACAATATGAATACGAGATCATTAAATATCTCCCATGCTTGAGCTCAAACTTCCCATATTAAATGGTAACAAGCACTGTTTAAGACTTCCAATTGGAACAGTTGCATTGCTTGTGAACTGCTTGCTGCAGCCTATTGGTATGTTAAGGGAGGCATTATGTTAACATACTATGGTGTGGGATGTTAAGTGAAGGCATTATGTTATCAATTGTTTAACCGTTTGGCAATTATTGAATAGAGAGCGGTTTACTTACGCTGCGCCATTGAGAAAGCGAAACAGCATGAAATAGCCATAGGATTGCGAAAACGACGAGGCAACGATGCAGAGGGCATTCATGAACGAGATGACAATGAGGATCTTCTTGCGGCCAAAGCTGTCGGCGATGCTGCCCCAGAAATAGGCGCCGACCATCATGCCAATGAAAATGATCGAGTTGAGCCATCCCTTCGTGCCAGTATCCAAATCCAAATCACATTCAGCCGATGGCAGGATGAACGACATGGATATGACGTCCATCTCCTCGGATGTGCTGACCAGGCCGCAGATGGCCAGCAGTATGTAGTGGAATTTGCCATATTCGCACAGTTCGATGGCCCGCTCGAAGTTGGCGACTATCGGGCGGTTTGGCGGCGGCAGCGGCGTCTTGTGCTTGGCATCCTCATCGGAGCTATCGCCGGCACCGCCAGCGCCGACGCGCTCTACGTCCTGCTGCTTGCCATTGGTGTTTGGTTCCGGCTCGTAGCCGCGATTGTCAGCAGCGAATTGATATTCCGGCTGCTTAGCGCCCGTGCCCAACGAGTACGGCTGGATGATCGCACGGTTATCAATATGCGTTGAATTGCTGTTCGAGCCAGTTAGACTTGGTGAATTGTTTGGATTGTGCGCTGCGTTGCCAGCGCCTGCGGCTGCGTTATTCTGATTGTAGTTTGGTTGTAGTCCAGCTTCTACATTATAGGCTACACAAAAAATGATCTTCGATAAGTAATTTGATTCAACTTCTCTGTTTCTCTTTACTCACATTCGCTTTTACTTTTTCCAGAATCACCTTCTACCATTCTATAGTTCAAGTTTTTTGTTGGTTTTTGTGCGCGTAGCGAAAAGAAATGAAATAATCTGAACTCTGGTGCGGTTGGCTATTGAGCGTTCGGGTTCAGTAAAGTACGATTAAAGGAGTTTTTGTTTGATCCTTTAGTGATCTGTGAAGAGAACAAAAATAATATTGTTTTATTATATTACAGAATATCTTATGGCATCGATATACCCTACTAAAGTACTCTACAATGCAAGTATATATATATTTTCCCCTTTTTTTCGAAATAATTTTATTCTAACCGCTGCGGTCAATCGACTCCATACTCGATCGGCCGATCGTTCAATTGGGCGTTTAAATTAATAGCCCATTAAATTGTAATTGAAGTGAATGAATAAATGGAATACAAATACAATCAGCACTTGTATGTGTGTGTGTGCCTTTGGCAACTCTGATCGACGCCTGTACGTGGTCGCCGATCGTCTAATTGACGGCACAAACAAGTCCAAAACATTCGCCCTAATTGTTTAATAAAAAATTATGCCCAAAAATAGAAGAGTAAAAGGCGTGCAAAAACAAAACAGAAAACAAATAAAAAAAATTATTAATAACAATAACGAAATAAATGACAGCTTAAGCCACCCATTGCTTTGCATTCATTAATGGGTAATTGCTGCTGCCTCCCATATAAATAGCTCACAAAATGTGCTGCTAATCGCCGATCGCCGATCACAGATCGCTGATCGGTGATCATTGATCGTAGATCGTTGATCATATGCTCTGTTAACCAGCAGCGGCAGAGGCAGAGGCTGAGGCAGAGGCTGAGCCGTGACGCTTCAAGGCGAGCGCAGAAACTTGTTTGATTATTAAAGGTGAAAATAAAAGCGAAATACGCATTCGTTGCTATTTAATAATTGCATTCAAATATAGCTAAACAGAAATAAATACGCATATTTATAATGAGCTCGCTCGCTGAAATGGCAGTTGAGAGTATGTCATCTGACGCTGTTAAAGTCCAATTGGAATGCTACACTGATTGCTGCTTAGTTACACTGCTGCCCGATGAATCGTATCGAATCATGAATTGCTCATCCAACTGGCAGTTGCTGGAATTGTAGTCTAAGACAACTAATATAAGCTAACAGCAAGCAGTGTCCAATGCAATCTAATTGGATAGTAATTGATGTCCTCTTTTTTCCATTGCTGGGCGAAGACAGCTTGGAGTCTGGCTACTTAAATTGGTGTAATATCCTAATATTCGCTGTTAATTAACAGAACTGTTATACAAGTGGATGCTATACAAGTGGATGCAGAGCCAGCGGAAATGGCGCTGATTGTCTAACGGCAAAACTGTGACCGGTGACCAGTGACCGGCGACCGGTGATCGGTAATCTGTGACCGGTAGCCGGTAGCCGGTGATAGTGACAGTAACAAAGACAGTTGCGTGACATGTCAGCTTTTGTTGTTGCCGATAGCCGCAATTGTTGCAGTTGTTGTTTTAATTTATGATTTATTGCGCGCACTGCAGCAATCTTTCACTTGATTTATATTTATTAAAAGAACAACAGCAACAAGCAGCGACAATTATGTACATCAATTCGCTTTACATTGAACCTGGCAAGACAACAACAACAAACGCCTGTCGCCATATGTATTGAAGGAGAACAGGAACAGAAAACCGCAACCGAAAACTGACTCCAATAACGAGCATCAGGCGGAAGGAGAGCGAGCCGAAGAGCAAGCGTGTGCAGTGCAAATAAATATAATTAATTATGTATTACTTTATGCAATTCACTCTGATTTCCATATTATGCCAATCGCGCGCGCGCTAATAAAACATGTTTCAATTCCAGCACGCTCCTCCCTCTGTTCACACATAATCACTCTCTCTCTCTCTCTCTCTCTCTCTCACACACCCTCTCGCTGAATAACGATTGCATTGCTAGGTCTATTGAGAGGCTCATCTGCTCATAATGCTGGACAAGCTTTAATCGCTTTGACCTCCGCCTACGCTTCCGCCAAATGGACGCCCTTCACCAGATTTACATGCAGCATGATGGCCTTCGTGCCAGCTTGACCCGATCTCCCAGTGGCTGCCAGTGTTCTCCCATTAAGTGTAATGAGCTCCAATCGATTTATGTCTGATTACTAACAAAGAAATTCACATAGGTGAGAGGGGGACGATGGAGGATGGGAGAGCGTTCTCGTGAGACAGAGAAACATGTAAACAAATTATGGAAATAATATGAGTTACCAGTTTATTTATTTATGAACGCATTCGTGCAATTATCAACTCTTAGTGTTGTTTATTTGTTAGGGGAGAGAGAGACACACACACACACTCTCTGATTGGAATAGACACGGCTTGAAATCAATCTGAGTCGCGGACTGGCATCGCCTACAATGTCAACTAAATGGGATGAAGTTGACCGAGAGCGGAAAGCTAGCTTCTATATGGCCCAGCACGTTGATATTTGTTCTTGTTCATGATTTGTTGTTATTGCTGCTGTTGTTGCTTTTGCTTTCTAGCGCTTGAGCACATAAGAATAACTCTTTGATAAAGTCAAAGTGCAGTGATATTGCTAAGCTAATAACAGTGTATAACATATCTCTCGACTGTTATGGAAGCCTTGCGTCTGATTGGGTTTATGCCCAATTTCAAAATCGACATAAGAAATCTGATTAGAATATTAATTTGAAGTGGATTAATTAGAGTGTGTAATAGCTCTAATTTGAACTTGGAAAGCCAAGTTAAAATATTTCAGAAATAATGTTTTTAAAGTTGTTAAAAATGGCTGTATGGTAAAAAATATGTTTAAAAATTTTGAATTTATGTAAATTAATTGAAATTTATCTAAGTAAATATTGACTGTCCATTTATATACCTTTTGCATTTCATTCAGCGCTTAACATAAATAATAATTTGTTATGGATATATTTTCTTTTCAGCTTTCTTCTATTCTGAATTAGTTGCTAATTCACAGCGTCACGTTCTGCTGATTTCGGAATTGATTTCTTGTTTGTTGTTATTGCTTTTATTTTATTTTGGTTTTGTTTTTTACCTGTTGTTGAAATGCTCAGAATTCTCGATACTCAATAATTCTCAAGTTCGTGTTGCACTTGCTGATTTTCACGCGTTTCTATTTCTTTCCTTGCTCTCTCACTCTCTGGCTCTTTGAGGTACTCTCTCTCACTCTCTCACTTTTTGGATTATGAAACTGGGAAGATTTGTTGTTGTTTTGATTATTTATTTATTTTTTGCCTGGCTCATCTGCGCGCTGCAGTCGTCACTTAATTTAGCTTTAGTTTACTCGATTAGAATTAATGCAATTTGGCTTGAAATTTKGATTTGTTTTGTTTTCGTTGTTGTTGTTGTTGTTTGTATTTGTCAGCTGTACTGTTTGTTATTTTTAGCTATAGTTCTTGTTCTTGCTATCGAATTGGTCAACAGCTTCGATTTTGCTTGCGAAAACATTAATAACTGTATTACTTCAATTTGGCAATCTATTCACAAATCGCTTCCGACAACACAAACAAAAAGGGAGAACAATTTCGCAAAATTTCGCTCGGGTTTATTTACTTATTTTATTGTATA